CGGGAGCAAAGCAGCACGACCCCGGGGCTTTAGTTCTCCCCTTCCCTCACGGCAGGGTGTTCCTGCTCCTCCCCCCGTCTGAAACGGCCTCAGCACCTGAGGGTGAAATCACCTGGCTGGCGGGAGAGAGGGTGAATGATATGGGTGGTTTTTTGCAGCTGTGTTGTAGAAAGAAGCTTGGCTTCCTCCCCTCCTTGTTAACCCAATGGAAAGGAGGGTCCAAGTCACTAAATTCTTAATTTCTTTATGAATAAAGCCGCCAAGTTTCACCTGAGCCGTTCTTTCCTCATAAACCCTCCCGAGCCAGGGGGTCAAGGTCGTTTTTGCAAAGCACAAATGAGAACGATGTTCCAAACGTTAAGCACTAAGCACAGGTGAAATAACACTTTAAAGAAAAAGGCTTTTAATGCAGCTCTAACACCCATACACGGACTTTAGAAAAGAATGCAATGAAACCGTATCGAACCTTGTGTCCCATAGAAAGTGTAGTCAGCAGCGATGAGGGATGAAGAAAGATTAATGGAACGGGATGAAAGGCAGAAGCTGCCAGTATTTCTGAAGACGGGTTCCTCCCACAGCACAAATTTAACAAGTGTTTTCAAGTTCAGTTTAATTAAGCTGTAATAACCTGCTGTGGAAGGGACGGCGAGACGCCCACTGCACAGCTGGAGTAACACACTCAGTGTAATTACTCACCACCCCAATAAAAAACTCTTTTGAAATGTTTGCATCGGTAGCAGTGGAAGTATTATTAAGCAGTATTTTAGCAGTTTCTTGAATATCTGTTACATGATAGGAAAAAACAAAACAAAACATAAACCAAACCAAGCAACAGCAGGACAAGAACCATACATCAACTACCCTCGCTAGCGCTGCACTGCCGCTTACTCAGAACGCTACACGGAACGCCATGCACAGGCAGGTATTACCAACTACTCTGAAATAACTGCTCTTCGGTATGAGGGGATTCCCAGCTTACTCTAGAAGAGTTTCTCCTCTAGCTAAACAAATGCTATAAAAGACCGAAACAGAACAAAACAAGGGTGAATAAGTTGGGTTTATCGACAGAGATGAAAGTGTGTCAACTATAGCGTTCACTCTGGAAGCGTGGAGCATAGTTTTTGGCACTTTCGTTCTCCTGCGTTGTGATTAAGTCTATAATAGCTGTCAGTACTGCCGTATCCCTGGATTTAATGTCATTCCAGTCCACAGGATGTGGGTTTTCTATTTTTTCTTGTAGGAGATCATCGAGCTCTTGTCTTAAATTCTGAAGAGTTTGTTGGAATGAAGGGGGGGGGGGGAAAAAAAAAGAAAAAAGAGGACAGGCAATTAGAGCCACAGACAACATCATCACCACAGAAAGTTCAAACCCCTTGGGCGCTCTGTTCTCCTCACCTTCACACCTGCCTCTCCCATTTAAACACTGCTATTTACAGGACCAGAAGCTGCTTCTCAATCCAGCAGTATTACCTTTCATGACTGATGGCCACCTCTAGGTGAGTACATCAAACCAAGCACTATGATGGCCACCTCTAGGTGAGCTGACTCTTTTAGGATTAAAAATATAGGGGTTTTAAAAATTCAGGTGTGATTTCTAGGATCTGATTTTGACCAGAGCTCTATTCAGCTCCTCCATCCCCTGGAACTTCCTGCTGCTAGCTGAAGAGCCCCATCCTCATGTCTGCATGTCCATGTGGCCACTGCATGGGCTCATCAAGCCATCCTACAGGCTTTGCTATGGAAAACTACAGAGACTAAGCTCTTCACATGTTTATAAATCCTTTAAATCCACCCTACAGGTCACTGCTGATGTCTCAACAGGCACACAGCCTCATTCTTTCGTCAGGCTGTTACACTGGAAACAAACAAAACACAAACAAAACTCCCCAAAACCCCAAACAACTGAGTGCCTAAAGCCAAATGTAAGTGATACATCAGTGTTTGTGTCTGCCCATGTGATACAGCGTTGGGAATGTTTTTTACCACTGCATCTGAACTTCCATTCCCCTACACACCTCCAGCACATCACTGGTTTACTCCGTGTACCTGAAGAGCTTACTGGGAATACATTTAAAGCATCATCACCTCAGTGTCATGCTAAGCCTTCCATATACATTACTATTAAGCACAGTCACCTTCACTAAGTGTGCTATTCTTGCCGGAGACTGGAAAACAATCCATTCATCCACAGCAATGGTATCCTGATCTTTATCCTTCTGAATGGATATATCTCCTCCGAAGAACAAGAGACAGTACGGAGAGACCTCTGTACAATCATACAAGTAAATCTGCAAGGAAGAAAACTGTCAGTCACCCTTCAAAGCATCTTAAGTGATACCAGCAGCCCGTAATGAAATGCAAAAGAGAATTCCAGAAGATCATTATTCAGAGTAATTCATAAATTTGCAAGATATATGAAGCAACTTGGAAAAGGTACAGTATTCATTCGTGGAACAATACTACCAGTGCCACAAAGAGCATAACCTGATGGCGTGCAGGAGGAGCGACCCAGGGCAGGAAGGCTTCAGCAAATGCACTGTTCACATCCCCTCTGAATCCTGATCCAGCCTTAAAGGAGCTACAAAAATAAACTACGCCAATATCAACCCTTTACGTACACTGCTAGTTCTCATCTTCAGATGGTACACAAGCCAGTTGTAATGGAACTCTGTTTCTTCCACGTTAACTGATTTAGGATGAATATTAACTGATCCATCTGTCTTGGTGCAAACCTTCACCCTTAAAAGAAAAAAAGTATTTTAGGATTAAAATACAATCTTGAAAGTTCAGCACAGCTGTGTCCCAAGTCAAACACCCCTCCAGCTCTCCACTAGCACACTAAACCCTGAAAGTACAAGGATGTTCAAAGATACTTTGACTTCTTTCCCAGAAGCCTGCAACTGAATCTACGGTATGAACGTTTAGACATCTTTCTTCCTGCATGGAAGAAGTTTGCGTTCTTTGTTGAAGTTACCCCCTTTGGCCCCCTGTCATTCTCTCAAGTAGAAAAAACAAGTGGCATTCTTGTCCAAACAAAGGACAGAGTTACTGAATTTGCTCACACAAACTAAGTTTCAAGCACCTTCTTGGAAAAACCACACAAGGAACTTGCACATCCAAACTCCCTGCTCAGCGTTAAGCGGTGTCAGTGTGGAACAAGGGACAAGCTGTCCCTACCACTGCCGAGCAGCCTTGTGGCGTACCTCTGTTCGTACCACGTGCCTTGGAACCAACCTGACTCAAGGGACAACCGTCAGCTGCCTTCGTTCTCCTCACTACCCGAAATCAGCTTTCCTTTCTAACGTAACACTGTCAGACCATAAAAGCAGAAACCAAGCACGTATGAAGCACAACCGTTCTCCTTCCCACGTTTCAGAGATGCAGCTCTTCGAGTGTGGGTCACGGAGCGCTCTACTCCCGTGCACGAAGTGTTTTGCAAAACAGACTTCAGTGTTTGCAACACAAACAGCGGGTGAGCGAGCCTCTCCAGCGAAGCGTTAGCTGACAAACCTCTTGCTTAGTGGATGATAAAACAGCCTTCCTGGGCTGCTGGCTTACACCCAGCTCCACCACGCAGCAACACCACAGCCAGGCAGCAACTTGCATCAGGGTGGCAGACGCTGCGTTTGGGTGACGCTGGCACACCGGGCTCAGTTTAAAAGGGAGCATCAGCTGACCAGCAGTGCCAGCTGCACACGGGTCTAAATCACACAATCTACGGTAGAATTTTGACTATGCTCTCACTCCTCTCAAAGAAATAATCACTTGGGCAGGGTTTTGCCTTCTTTTTTTTACATATTGGCATGATGATTGCTCTTAGGTTGCCGTATCGACATCACACCCCCAGACAAATCGATCCCAACGGTCAACCCTTCCTCCTGTCATAAGTCAGGTCCATGAAGAAGGATGTCCATGTTCTGATGAGCACACTGTTGCTGTGAGCAGCAGTTAGTAAGAATAAATAGTCTGATAACATAAACAGTGACACATCAACAGATCAGCATATGCGGCACAGCAGTACGAAAGGACAGCGTTTCAGCTGCAGCTGTAGGTGGAAGGTGATGGTAGGACTCCTGCAGCAGCAGTTACTGATAGGTTGTAATACTATCCACGGCGTGAGGTCACGCAAATTATTTCACAGCCCAGCAGGTATCCAGATGTGAAATGAAGTAAATACCATGCTCCCATCTACCCTCCTCAGATCAATCAACCCACACCCAGGACAGCTATTCGCAGACTCATTCCTGCGCTCAAGCACTGCCTCACCTTGCCAAACCAGCTAACGCAGAAAACCCCTCCAGTACAAACCAACATTAAACCAAACCCTTACATTTTTCTCTTTTTGCTGAAGCTTGGCCGGATCTTTGCAACTTTGGGATATAAACCAGCACAGATAACAGCTTTGAGCAACTTCTCATTATCTGCAGAAGACAGCAAAGTAAGTAACAGTGGTGCAAAATTTCACCTATTAGAAATGTTCCATTTCCTTCCACCTTTTACCTGAGTTGGTATTAGATTTGGGATCCTTGGGGTCTCTGCTATTCACAAATCCAGCTGCAAGGAGATGCTCAGCAAACTGTCCTTTCATGTTATGCAGCATCTAGGAAACAACAACAATTGCCCCAGAATGATGCTGTGCCAAAAGGCTCCTCCCTTTTCCCCACAGGCTCAATCTGTCAGGATGTTACCTGGAGCGTATTTGAAGACAGAAAATACTCCCAGCAATAGTCTTTCTCCGTTCTGAAACCACGACGTCGAGTCTCTTCCCAGCCCTAAAAATTAAAACCATAGTTCAAAGGCGTTTGTAAGTGAACACATACAAAAATTAGGGACAGCAAAAACTGGAGGTCAACAAACGACATAGTTGCATGTTTTTCTGTAAGAGAGAAAGCAGATCCTTCAATCTCTTTGGTTATATACAGACAGCACAGAGTAGAAAAACGCAACTTTACAACAATTTGAATCAAAACTTGCTTTTTTCACACTGAGGTGCAAAATCTGCCCAAGTTTGCCAGAACTCTCTGTGTTGCTATTAACAGTCCTGGGTAGAAACTGCATCCCAGGCCATTTACTTCCTGCTCTCGCCCCAGCAGTATCCAACTAAGTGTCCAACAGTACCGAAGTCAGCCCCAGCCTCTTGGAGAGGCTGAAGGACAACAATTAATGACTTCAGCAAGGCAACTATAGATATACAGTTATAGTTTTACACATATATAGTCTCTTTCATAGACATATCCACTATAAATTAGGTTTTTGAGCCTGAAGAAAAAGATTGCTCAATGCTAGAAGGGTGAAAATCAATTTGGTTTTATGTTTCTGCAGAAGCCAAGAAATACTTCAGAGCATAAACTGATCAGTTTTCTCCTTAGAATAATCCAGATTGCCCCAATTAACATTCAAGAAGAAAAGCCCCTAAACAGCGCAGGGAAAGATGCCTACCGTGAAAGCATTCACCACAGTTAGATGATCACTTTTAGAGTTCTTTGACAGTTCCTTTCTTCTTGCGTCTGCTACTTTCTCTTTGCCCTAAGAATAATTAGAACCAATGAAATATTGACAATTGACACGCCAGTTCTCTTCCGAACGAGGGTACACACAGACAGCGATACTCTGTACGTGACATACGTGAACGTTAAAGCTACTTCCAATACGCTGTAGGCAAAGACAATACTTCATCGTATGTGAAGGCAGTCTTTTACCAATAAAAGTAATTAACATGAAAAGAAGATTAAAATGATTTTAAATTCTAACATCTTAGTAACTCCCAAGATCCTTCTGAGATTCTTAAAATCTGTAGTGTAATTCCACCCTCAGAAACTTTACCAGAGGAATGACAAAAGGGTCTTTGAAGCTGAGGCTAGCTGCAATGGTAAGGACTGGATCCAAGCAGCAGAATAAGGCTCCGAAGAGGATCATTTTTCCAATGTGCGGTTCAACGGGTAACCGTGCTAAATGGACACCCAGCGGAGTCAGTTCTTCTTGTCTGTCCAGAGCATTCTGCCAGAAGAAGGAAAAAAGGGAAGAAAGAATACACAGTACTTGAGATGGTGAGGATTTCCTTGACAGAGCTCCTAGTACACCTAGAGAACTCCAGCCTAACAGCTGGAGAACACAGCCAGCTCTAATGGTGTATGGTAGGAACGTGATCAAGCAAGTTACAGAGAAGCTGAAATGTTCACTTAGATCCAAGAAAACAGCAGACACACAGTCTTTAGTTTAGTGTTCCAAGTGGTTTACTAGGGCTCAGTGTTTGTCCAGATGAAAATATTAAGAATTAGTAACATAAGCGTCTTCCTGTTCTCCCGATCCAGCATAGTTTTAGACTTGTATCTTACCCTCAGTACCACTTCTGGTTCAACAATTCCACCCATTGCTATTTTACAGCACGCTCACACACCACCACACGTATAGCTGAATTTTAACTTCATCAAAGCATCCCCAGAATCACGCCATCAGTCTAACACTGCCCTTCACCTCAGTCGGGTGCTTCAGTGTACTGCTACAACCGACAGATACCAGGGCAAGAAGTCTGTCGTACCCATGTGCCAGTAAACTCTCCCTTCCCAGCATCCCAAGGGGCAACGATGTCCCAGAGCTCTCTCCTACACGCCTTATCTGCCCTAGAGAAGTGCCCCGAGCCCTCCACTGAGCTGACTGGGGCAGGAAGGCTTGGTAGGTGCAGCCGTGAGCACGGTGGTGCAGAAGCAGCGACTTAAATGCAAGGTGCATGTATGTAATTTAGAAAGTTCCTCAGGAACTACTCTATGCAGCCCATAGCATGACCAACTATGTACCATTATTTCCTCTGTCCAGTGAGGATATTTAAAGGGCCTGCACCATACAGTAAGGGGTTGCAGGTGGCCTCAGCTGTAGGATCAGAACTGTCCCATAAACAATGCAGTAACACGGTTCTAAACAATTTTCCCCTGCATGTACATTAAGCAGTATTTTACCAGCTCCATTAGGTGATTTATGGCCAATATGACAGCATCACGAGACGGCGGATCCATGAGTTTGCTCAGAAAATAAGCAATTCCACCAAGCTTTAGAATCTGAAAGAAAAACAAAACAGACCTACAGCAGCTGGAGAAAGAGGGCAGACTGTATCAGTAAGCAGTGACCACACAAATTGAACAAAAGTGCGAACAGAACCACTAGTTAAGAACTAAGGGCATGGTATTCCTTACACAGCGTAAGGAGTTCCACATGAACTGCCGGGAAACTCCTGTCAGTTCCAAAACCCATTTCTAGGAAAATTCTTTCAAGACCACAGATCCCTGGACTCTGCCACTCTCACTGAAGCTCCTCTGACTGAATGACACGGGGCGGGGGAGGAGGGGGGGAGAGAGCAAAAAGCACAGCCCAGAGTTTTGTTAACAGAATTCAGCTTTCATTTATACTAGACAGTCTTACTTCTCCCGGGTTTGATGCACCTGGATAGGAGTGTGCATTTTGCAAACGTCGCTGCAATTGGTAGTTAAACACGTACTTCTGGTGTAACTCAACTGTGACCTGAACACCACAGCTGTGATAACATCATCTCTCAACCTCTTCCACTGGAAAAGCAGACAGCAAACCTGTTTGAGGAGTGACACGTTTACCTTGATTTGTAAGCAGAGCTCTTCCAAAGGCGTCCTCAGGATCTCTGGTAACTGATAATCGTCCAGAAGGCTAGCGCGCAGCCCGTTGTACAGATGGTAACAGTGGCCTGGCTGAACTCTGGAATCATTTAAACGAACAACTGTATTGTTTTCCCCTCAGGATTGTGTTTCTTTACAAACAGCTTTCCAAGATAACTCAGGCAATTAGAATTGAAGCACACTGAATGGTAAAAGCCACTCCAGCCTTCTGAAACAGACCCACCGGCAGGAGAACATGCAGAACACAGAAACCTCCCATCAACTGCTCAAACGGGGCAGTGAAGAGAGCAGAGAAGAACTGAGAGTCTGAACAAGAGAGAAGATACTCCACAAGGTTTTGAGAGCGAAATTAAGACAAAAATGTGGTATATAGCTCAGGGGAAATCATTTGTAGGCAACTTTCACTGTACTGTGTCACAGCCTCAGAGGGCAGGTGTGAGGGCAAACACTGCCAACAGATTTAAAAACACTGCAACTTATTCTTCTCTATGGAGGCAACTCAGGAGTTAAACACAGCACAAGTTGATTCACTTTCCCAGGGAGACAAAGAATCCCCTCCGTCCCTAAGGGAAGAGACAGCTGTGCTAGCACCCGCTTCTGAGCACACCAATGACAAAGTACCATCTTCAGCTCCACGGCTGATAGAAGCCTAAACAAGGCGTTTCTAACCCTCCCCGTTATTCTCACCTTCCAGCTCGACCTTTCCGCTGCTTGGCATTGGCCTTGCTAACCCACTCCGCTGCCATCGTGCTGATGTTGTTCTGTGTGTCAAAGTGCGTCTCCTTTATTTTCCCACCGTCTATCACGAACACCACGTCATCTATTGTAATGCTGTTAAAAAAGCAAACAGAGAACAAAATGCAACTCTTTCTTTGCCAGCTTGACCCAGGCTTTGAAAGGGGTTCAACCTCTCTTCACCCCCTCCCACACTGTGAGCCAACAGTAAAAAGCACGTCTGGAATTTCATTAAGAATTGTGTTACTAAGTGGCTCAAGAAACAGCATGATGTATTCTCCTAGGTCTGCCCAGAGCCACCACAGGGGGCTATGAAGTCTGCAGAGAGGGCAGGCAGCTCAGATTTATCACGTACAACAAATTGTTGGCTCCAGGGAGACCTTACAGCACCTTCCACTGCCTGAAGGGACTACAAGGAAGCTGGGGGGGACTTTTTACAAGGGCAGGGAGTGACAGGACAAGGGGTAACGGGTTTAAACTGAAAGTGGGGAGGGTTAGATTAGATATCAGGAAGGAATTCTTCCCGGAGAGGGTGGGAGCACTGGGACAGGTTGCCCAGAGAAGCTGTGGATGCCGCATCCCTGGGAGTGTCCAAGGCCAGGCTGGATGAGGCTGGGACCAACCTGGTCTAGTGGAAGGTGTCCCTGCCCATGGCAGGGGGGGTGGAACTAGATGATCTTTAAGGTCCCTTCCAACCCAAACCGTTCCGTGATTCTATGATTCTATGAAATTGTCTTCACAGCAACATCCTTGTTTGAATGAAGACAATTAAAGGAAAACTCCTGTTTAGTCTGTAAACATTTCTAAAGATAAAGTGTTCTAAGTGAATGGTACAAATACAAAAACATGCACTTTAGAAGTATTAAGCAGGTTTCCACTTTAGATTACAACTTCCATGTAGCGTTTTCGGTCCGTACAGCCAGCTATTTACCTGGTCTCTGCAATGTTGGTAGCAATCACAATTTTCCTGACTCCTGGCGGCGTCTTCTTAAAAACCTGTAATTATCCACAGCCCATTTACATGTTTGCCAAAACCAAACACAGGCTTAGTCCATTTTTTTTTGGTAGTTGTGAAACATTACAACTGAAGAAGCGCATACCTGAGTCTGGTTAACAGTAGGCATCAATGAATGCAAAGGTATGATAATAAACCTATCTGGAAATTAAAAAAAAAACCCCAGTAAAAGATACAGTGTAAGCACAGAGCCTTGAATTTTACAGGAAAATCAACCATGCAGAATAGAGAAAAAATGCTGCAAGTACATCTACTGCTTCCTATTCTGATTTCACAGGGACAGGTATCATAACAGCACGTTCTGAATTAAAAAGGTGTAAAGGAATTTTTATGCTACAATGGCAAGTTTAAGAAAATACATGAAGTTACGTACAGGACTTTGCATTTCATTTTTAAGTTCTCTGATTATTTAATGATTGCACAAGTTTAATAAGTAAACTGACACACCTCAATCTTTCAACAGACTGAATTTCTTTACGGAATGCCCACAGCATGAGCCGTAAGACAACTATCTGACTAGTCAGGAGCAGGGGTGAACAGGTTAGATGGAAACACAAGTTACACAAACAGTGTATCAGACAGGCACAGGGTATTTTAGTGCCCTGTCAAAAAAGGCTTCCAGGAATAAACAAGACTGAAAAGGACTACCAGCAAAGCAGTAGGCAGAAGCGAGACAAGAAGTGAACACAGAATGAGGAGTTTAGTGTTGGCTGGAAGCTATCAGAGTACAAGAAAGGACAGAGAGATGCAGGTCTGAGACACTATTCCAGGTTGTTCACACCTGCACTGAGGAAAATGGGTTGTTATCATTAGCAGATGAAAGATACCACAGAAATGCCAAAAAATGCTGACTCCTCTCAAAACGATTGCAGAGTGGAGATGAGAAAAAAAAAATCCAGTGCAATCGCAGCAACCACATGCAGAAATAAGAGTTCGCCACTACCACCGCTGTAGAGTGCCCATGAGAAGTGTTGGTTTTACCTGACTTAAACATGACTTGTGACATCAAGAGATCATGCAAAGTGCTGATGTTGTCCCAGCCGGGAAGAAACACGAGAATTGCACCATCCTATATATGGAAGAGGGAGCGAAGGGAAAAGAGGTCAGAATGAGTCACATGCGATGCGCAGAACCAGCTGCTTGTGCACCATCCGGGTGCTGGAGAGGCGAATTCGGAAACCTCACTGACCCAGCTTGCAACAGTTTCCACCAGTGTTTCCTATAAACGAGTCAGACACGTACGCATCTGTACACAATAAATGCAAATGTGATTTTAAATCTTCTTCCCCTGCAGTGATTTAAACACACTGTCAACAGCAGAAAGATTTGAGCTGCAAATAAAATGGAGAAAAACTAATGTATAATTTTCAACACAGGGAGAACAAAATACGAAACAGCAACTCACCCTCACCAACCACAACTTAAATGATCAATCAACTGAAACGTTAAATTATGTAATGCTTTTAATAATCAAAATTCTCTTTAAGGAATCAGTTTGCCCACATAAACAAACACGTAACTCGAGGTTCTAACAACCTACATCCGTTATACCCATGGGAACAGAAGTTATTCTTACTTCAAGTCTGTCACTGCTGCAGGCACAGGATCCTTCTGATAACATTATTACTAAATAGCATTAAATAACTAAATCGGGACATTCTGATGATACCATTAGTAAATAGCAAGGTAAGGCACATCTGGGGATGACTACTACTGCAGGTGTATTAAGCTCCAAGTTGGAAGCTCCTTGTAGCTGTGTGTCTGGTAACTGTGACTGGACACTGGCCAGGCTGTGTAAAAATCCAAACCTCCCAGGATCACGTTCAGATTACTCAGGCAGGAAAACCATTAAAGCCAACAGCACAGTGCAGGCACGAGGCAGTGAACATCAACTCTACATGTTGTTCTTGCCCTCTCCCTCCCACTGCTGAGGAATGAAGAACAGAGATTTTGTTGTACACTAGAGGTTTTCAGACAGTTTTCTACAGCTGCTTCAGAAAACTTCACTTTTGCTGCAGGCTAAAAAGAACACTACCCCTTGACAAACACAGCCACAGAAAGAACCAGAAGAGTCTATTTAATTTGTAACTATCTCTATCAAATAACTAAGGTGTATAACGAACCTGAAGGCTTATTTAAAAGCAATCAAACAGCCCCCAAACCTTCAGATATCTATTCCATTTATTTATGGGACAATCCCCACTGCCCGTGAAAGTATGCAGGCTCTTTTTCATCCCTGCTCAGAAGGGATCATAAATGAGAGTACCAGAAGTCTTCCAGGATTCCTATGTCCACAGCTCTCATTAATACCCACAACCCCTCCACAAAACACTTAGACGTGTGCTCCCATGGACTGCCCCATCATTTCAGTAACACACTCTCACTAGCCATGTTTTAAACTGTTGGATTACTTCTCAGAAAAGCAAACCAAAAGATTTTTCTTCTCTGTATCTGTATGATAAGCTGAAATAACCCAGCTCTGACATCCCACCAGCCACTGACAGTTCAGCTGCATCACTAAAGCGCAAGGACAGGAGACAGAAGCGTACCTCTTCCTCCAAAACGATGTGTCTGATAAGTGCTGCTATAAGATCGAGGTCCACCTTGTCGTCATCCATCATTTCCAAGGCATCTATCGTACCTGCGGAATACCTGCGGGCATCGAAAGGGTGCGGACTGGTAACCTGTTAACATACAAGCTCACGCGCGCATTTCTGTTAGCAGGCTCTGCAGTCACGCATCGATGTAACCCACCGCTGTTCCGTTTATTTCTCTGATCAGGTACTGCACCTTCAATGTGCTCGAGATTTAGTTTAGTGTGATTAGAGAATCACAGAACGGTTTGGGTTGGAAGGGACCTTAAAGATCATCTAGTTCCACCCCCCCTGCCATGGGCAGGGACACCTTGCACTAGACCAGGTTGCTCAAAGCCACATCCAGCCTGGCCTTGAAGACATCCAGGGATGGGGCATCCACAGCTTCTCTGGGCAACCTGTCCCAGTGCCGCCCCACCCTCTCTGTGAAGAATTTCTTCCTGATATCTAATCTAAACCTCCCTGATTTCAATTTGTACCCATTACCCCTTGTCCTATCACTACAGGCTCTTGTAAAAAGTCCTCTCCCAGTACCCTTGTAGGCCCCCTTCAGGTACTGGAAAGCTGCAATGAGGTCTCCTCGGAGCCTCCTCTTCTCCAGGCTGAACAAGCCCAGTTCTCGCAGCCTTTCATCACAGGAGAGGTGCTCCAGCCCTCTGATCATCTTCGTGGCCCTCCTCATTATCATCAGTTTAGAATAGTAACAGATACTATTCTAAACTGATGATAATAGAAACTCATTATCATCAGTTTAGAATAGTAACAGCTCCAACCACTCCCCATGGGAACTGTGCTCCAGCCCCTTCCCCAGCTCCATTCCCTTCTCCACACACACTCCAGCGCCTCACAGAATGGTTTGGGTTGGAAGGGACCTTAAAGATCATCTAGT